AAAATTATATCATTTGATCTGCATGGTATCATATTTCTTTGACTACACATTCAACCCTATTTTGATATGTTGATATATATATCATATTTAATTTTTAATTTTTTCCCCATGAATAAGTTAAAATGAAATTTAAAAAGTGGAAAATTTACAAGGAAGAAAATTTGAAATAATTTCTGTTAAATTTTGTGCTTTAATTAGTAAAAAAATCAAAAATTATTTCTAACATTAATTTTTAAATGAGTTTTAACACATAGTAATGAGGAAACAATCATGTAATCTAACGATTAATTGTTTTCTTGCTTATAAAGGCGTATACAAAATCAAAAGTATAATAAGTGGATAAAAGATTTAGATTTGAAGATAAAATGTAAAAATGTGGCCATCCGGCACGTGTACGCGCCAGAATGACTTAAGAAAAGCAAAAATAGTCATGAAACTCGTCTATTAAGACATTAAAGTTCAGTATGTCATCATTAAATAGAGAAATATCAAACTGTTCAGACAAATTTCTTCGATGTTTTTAGCCCTATTCTGACATTTATATAATATGGCTTAACTCCATGTTACTTTTTGATACGATTTGGACAAATATTGCTTTTTAAATGATGATAAACTCGGGGGTTTTTTTATATCAATAAAATACGCAAAATCAGTTATTTCTTCGACAATGTTTATTTCAACACTAGTTGTTTCCTGTGTCTGCAGTTGGTTTTGTAATTAAGTCTAGCTTTGACATTAATTGCAACTATGGTCAACAGCAAAAAAACAAGGCTATGAGAACATGTATGGATAGAAATATGTCGCTTATAAAAATGAAACCATTAAAACGATATACAAATTGTCGCCAAAACCTACTCATAAAACCTCTCGCCGACTAATGCTATTTTGTTTTGTCATATTAAATAATATAAATGAAATACATAGAACGTCAATATTAACATTAGTCTCAGTAATTTTTGCGTTGTTTATCACAGAAATAAAAAGGTCAGTGTGTATTTCCCATATGACCGCAGTTTTGCTAATGGACTTCGCAAAAACAACATGTTTGTGTGTTAAACGTTTCCGTTTTAGAGCAGGGACAGACAAAGGTGAAATATTTGCACAGAATTGAGTTAATTTTGAATGAAAATGTATGTTTGAGCCAGTTTTTATCCAGTAACAAAAGTTTTGTTATGTAGAAATTGTAAAATTACTTTTTATTAATGAAACACAAAAAAATATTTAAGTAGTTTGTACACAATTATTAAATGTTCCATTTGCTTTGGATATACATCTGCTTAAGCCCGTGTCCAAGCACTTAGTACGAGTAATTTAATACATTCTGCGGGCTTATCAAGAAATTAATGCACGTTAGAAACTGCATAAGCGCTATTCACGCATATATGAGTATTTATACGTATCCGTGTTGCGTTATTTACTTTCGTTTGTAATGTTTTGATAATAAAATTATTGAGGCCGTCATTGCAGTCAGCTTCTTTTCATGGCGCCCTTAATCACGCATATTTAAAATGTACAACAACTGCACATGCTCGTGTGATTTTATAAGTTAATGTGTTTTCTTATTCGTAAATTAATATACACCTGCAAGGGCAGCTTTTATTTTAAAAAAAATATTCTTTAAATGTCGCCGACTGAGAAAAATATGAATTCATTCATAGAAATGATAGATTCAACACTTTTTTAAATGTGTCCAATATAGAGGTCTATTAATTTGTTATGTCTTTTGGTATATTAATTTTCATTGTCTTAATCCTTTGTTGCGCTCTAAAAATATGCTATAAAGGCAATTAAGGCAATTGATAGTAATTGGATAACAAATAGATAAAACATGCAATTTAAGGAAGCGACATTAGTGTTAATTTATATATACTTGGTTAAAGCTAAGAGGAACGACTGGTTTGAACAAAATAGTAGTTTAATACAATACATTCGAATGTGCGTAATGATAAAAGTATTGGTATCATTTGTTCGTGTGGTGAATTTAATACAACTGAAAAAAAATAAAACTGTCTAGTTTCATTTTTGATGGTTTACTGGAAATAGTGATTTCTCAGCCAAGAATAATGCGTGAAAAGTACACTATTGATATATAGCGCACGGTGAAGCTAAGAGAATAAATAAAATATACATATATCACGTATGGTGGCATATTTCTGCCACCAGATAACCTGATAACTAACTAGTTAATTAAGAGATTAACTAGTTACGTAACTAGTTTACCTGATAACTAACTAGTTAATTAAGAGGTTAACTAGTTACGTAACTAGTTAACCTCTTAATTAACTAGTTAGTTATATGGTTATCTGGTGGCAGAAATATGCCGCCATAATCACGTGATAATGAATAATGATAATAATATATCTTTGTCGGAAGAAAAAGATTCAATTGGATATCATATAAACAAAAATAGCCGCATTTATTTAATTTTACCCATGAAATATGGTGCTATATCAGTCAAATATATTTCATATTTTTTAAAAATAGATATGAAATATAAATATGAAATTGGGCGGAGTCAAAACTCATATTTATTTTCGCCATTTTGTTTGAAAAATCTGATAAATACAAAACAATTTTTTGTTGAATTTTGTTGTGAAAACTATCTAGAATGATAGAAAATGATCTAACTAAGAAAATAAATCCGATCACTAATATCTTTAATTCAGTCATTAACGCTGTACAGACGTTTAAAGAGTTGTTTACGTGACGTCACAATGTAGAGCTAAATATCGCGTGCAAAACAAGACAATACTTATTACTGCGCGCTGTACAAGTACAGTTGCGTAGCAAGCAAGGGTGTTTGTCACCATTTTTCTTTGATAATGAAATTAAATAAAAAGGTTATTTTTTCGTGAAATATGGTATGTATTTTCACTCAACATGATAAAATGCCACATATTTTCACTCGCCGTCCCGGCTCGTGAAAATATGTGGCATTTTATCATGTTTCGTGAAAATATATTCCATATTTCACTGAAACGAAAAAATATCCTCTTAATAATTTACCTTTTGCCATGGCCAACAAACATCAGCTTATACAAATTTAGGAAATGAAATATTGTAATTAATATTTATATTTCCTCCCACAAATTGATTCTGGTATATCACTTAAAATTATTATTTGTAACTAACATATTTTTAACATATTTTCATTAAGGGGACGAGAATTGGTTTATATATCTATAATATGTCGGTGTAACTTTTTTTTCTGGAAATATTTTAACGCACTTTTTAACTACTTATTCTGTGTATATGCTCTTGTGCAAAACATTTTTCAAATCCTACATGATAAATGCATTAATTTGTACAGTAAAAAGAAAATTGTTATCACATAACTGAAAGCAAATCTCGGTCAAATGTTTGCAGTTTTAGGCTAGATAAAATGTAATTACGAATGTTTTGTAAACAAGTACTGTGTTTCGATTAAGCTATAAACTATTCGATACTAAAATTAACTTTAAGGAAAAGTATTGACAGAACTACTCTTAAGAAAATTTAGGAGGAAAAAACGAGTTTTGAATAAAAGTATTCAATTAAGACAAACAATAGGTAAATTTCTGTAGATAAGTAATAATCTTATAGGTATTGTCCTGCAGGCTAGAGATACAAATGTACTACTTTCAACTCAAATGAACAAGGTTGATCGGCCATGAGGTATTTAGCTATCATTTCGCTCATTTTTTTTTCAGTAATAAACTAGCTGTACACTACCTCTATTTGCACCTTTTTGACAGTACGACACTTTAAATCGCTTCGGTTAATTAATGTTTATACAGCCGGCTAAGTACATTTAGCCGTGGTATTCATCTTTAACTAGGGTTAACCTGTTGGGATTTGAGAGAGGTTTTGGCTATTTTATTATGATAATTTATGTTTCGGCCGGGCTTGAAAAATGAATTTTGTAGTTTAAACCAATTTATTTTCGAACGAAAAAAGAAATTGATTGTTCTCGTTACGATTCTGACCAAAGCTTAAGTATTTTTGTAGCATTTTAAGCATTTCAGTTTTTATTATGTAGCTTTTAACAACTCCTTTGGGAGATATTCTTAAATATTAGCCGCCATCATCCTTGAGGTACAACGAAATTCAAATAGCAACTGTTTTTTATATGTTATAATGATTTAAAAGTCTTTATATTTTATAATATTTATAAAAACTTAAAAGTGCACATTATGAGAGTATGTCAGGCACAAGTGACGGGGATAATAACGAAGTTAAACTGTGTTAGATCCATTACATTAATTTTGCATTTTACAGATAATTTGCCGATTCTTTAACAAATTTAAGTATTATTGAATATGTTATTTTTAAAGTAAAATTTAGAAATAATAGAACTGTAATAAAATGTAAAATATAGAAATTTGAACAGGAAAAGTGTTTATATAAAAAAAAACAGTAATATTGTTCATTTTAAGATGTATACATGTATACTCTGCACTGACATATAATTAATCTGCTTGGTGTTGTTGTTTTTGTTTTTGTTTTTTTGTTGTTGTTTTTTTGTTGTTTTTTTTGGGGGGGGGTTAGCGATTTTTTCTGAGGTCGTCCTTTTTATATTTTTCATTTTATACACATTTTGGGCTGATTCAAGCTGTCTTTAGCGAAATAATGTTCCCAAAAAGTTGTTGGTGTTTATTTTGTAGCACGTGGAAAGAATTAGAGTTTTTGTTGTTGAGAAGAATTATTGTTGTTTTATTGATTATTGTTGTTATTATGTCTCAAACATCTTCAAAACAACGTTTTGTTGCTTTTTTGCGAAGTTTATTTGTATTAACTTTCCATTGTAAGAAAACCAATGCAGTCGTTAAGAAAAACGTTTTGATTTCTCGAAATCTAATTAAGCTTCAAGCCGTGTGGAAGACGTGGAGGATTCTTCCATGAAGGTATTGTGTTAATAGTCATTCTTAAAAGCAGTGTCACTTTTAAGGTGATCTGTTTAATTTAAAGTATCAGATACAATCCAGCTTGCTGTCGGTGCGAATTATTTTATGCTACATTTATAATGTCGATCTTTTCACGTAGTAACCTTCCAACCTAGTGTTTGCACTCAAAACGAGTTCACTGTGCTATTACTGCGCTACTCTCCGTTTTAACGGGACGGATATTTAGGACTATTTTTTCGGGACCCGGATTGGTTGCTATTTTTAAAATGGGAAGTTTCCAGAGGAATTAAATAAAAGCGGATTTTAATAATTTTTTCAGTACCCTTTCAAGCCTTGATGTGAAGCAGATTAAAAAGTGTCTTGTGTTTTAAAACTCCATGGATGCATAACTTGGATGATAAATGTTTGTTTTATGTTAACTTAGATTTAAAATTTATTTATTTAGTGAATAGATTTAAAGGACTACAGTTTGTGCATTTGGTGATAAGAAAATTTGGTGTAAATTCATTTTCGTTGAAGCCAAAATTTACAAAACAAAACTTATCTGAAACTTTGACGTAGAATTCCAACTTTGTTGAATAGTGTTTATCTGATATTAGTTGAAACTTGAGTGAGGTTTTACAAAAATCTGAGATAAAGACACAATCATTTTATCAGGCTGGAGAAAAATTGCAATATTTATATCTTATTTTTATCTTAAAATAAACAGCAAGAAATTTAGGACAAGTCTCGAGCGATATTTTTAGTCATAACAGTTTCTTCGGTCGGACAGACTTTAGCTAAAAGAAATACTTAGAGCGAATCTAGATGCTTTAGTGCTTTGAGAGTTTTTAATTTTCATCACGAATTAAAAATGAATGGTAGTAAAAAGGACAGTATCCGAAAGTATAAATTGACATATTTTGACATACGGGGACGCGGTGAAATACCACGGCTATTGTTTCATGCAGCTGAAGTGGAATTTACCGATGACCGGATAGATAGCGAGGAAAAATGGTACAACTCTTTAAAAGCAAGTGAGTATAAATGCTGAGTACGTGATGATAGTGGACTTTTTTCGTGACCGTGTTTTCTAAATAATATAAGCTTTGAAAGTGTTTTTTTCGCACGCACATCAGTTTAATACCGTATAATTTTGATCCTTGAAGTCTTGTTTGAATAGAACAGAAAAAAATATAACATTATTTTTTCATTAAGATTTTCAGCATCTTCTTTATACAAACATCAAAATACAAATATCATCAGAATTAATAGAAAAACACTAATTAAAACAACCTGGCTAAAGTATTAAAGGTCACGAATCACCTCGGCTTTGCTTAAGTTTTAACATTTAAGAAGATAAAAAAAACATGAATATTATGAGTTTCCGTTACAATGATACATAAACTCGATTTATAAAGTTAAAATCATGCTGCAAAAATAAATTCCACATACATACAATGCGCAATAACTACGAATAATACTTGAATATTTTTGAACGAAATTTTTTAACAAAATTTATTGCGTTTATGGAACCAGATTTAAGCAGCCTTTGATTTTTCGTTGAGGTAAAAATTACAAAATAGGATCATAATATGGGCACTCAGGTCGTTGTTCTTCATATGATATATTCAGGATATATGTGAGCAAATTCTTAAATGAAATGTAATACGTTTGAAGTAACGTTATTGTGTTATATCAATGTATCGATTTTTGCTATGAGAATGAGACCTTAGATAGATCTAAAAAAAAAGGCACTGCTTTTATGAAATTTAATAATCAAAGAAAATAAAGGATTGGACATTATTATGATATGCACATTGATAATGAATGGGTCTTCAAATAAATGGATAAAAGGATGAGAATTTTATCTAGTGGGTGAACTAACCCTTAGTGTGCTTGTGGCAATATAATCTTACCAGGCGAGCAGTGCAGACCATCTGTGCCGCCTGATCATGGTCTGCACTGTCCACAATTCAGTCTGCACTTATATATATATATATTAAAATATTTCTCAAGTGATAACTGGTTAAGTACATATGGATAGATGGACAAGTTCATATAGGATACTTAGCGTGGTAAGGGTTAATAAGTTAAATATCGTAAAATATATGTGTACTGTTAATTAATTAGTTTGGCAATTAATGAAACCTTTAACCTTATTGAAAAGACTTCGGATATTTTTATTCTCCAATGGTAGCCTTTCTACATAGATAATTTATTTACACGGGCAATGATTCATATAATACAATCATATTAATAAATTTATAAAAACGTAACGAATGCTTAAATTTATCCCGAAGAAAACGTGCCGGACTTCCGTTTCACGTGACCAAAATTGAGCAACTAGTACAAAAAAGAAACAATGCAAGTAAATCATAGCAAGCAAATTAACCTATCTGGAAAATGTGAATAAAAAAAATCCTGGCAAAAAATGCACGTGATTTACGTGCCAATTCTGAATTCAAAATAAATTGAAACACTAGTCTGTTGAAATCAAATTAGCATATCAGGTCAAAAAGTATATACATTGTAAAAAAAATATTCTTATGGAAGTTGAATAGTAATGCTAAATGAAAAAAATTGGGGATTTTTTACAATAAGCAGAAAGCTTACGATAATATCATATAAGTACATGTAATCACGTAAAAAGTGGCCCAGTGGTTAACGTCGTTTACTTTAAACCACTTGCATCTCACCGCTGTAGGTTCGATCCGCGCAAAGCTATCCACCAGAAAATCTGGAACCTTGCCATGTGACCTGCGTTGGTGCGACGTAAAAACAATCCAAGAAACCATTTAAACCCTCCTTACCACGCTAATGATCTTAAATAAACTCGTCCATCTTTCAATCTGGACAAAACCAGTTATTGTATTTAGGTTGATTTTTTTTATATGTGCTGACTAAATAGCGAACAGTGCAAATCATGATTAGACGGCGTGGACGTGCAGACTGATCTTCGTCTGCACTGGTGACATGGGTAGAATTATGTTGCCGCCAGTAGGTCGAAGGTTAAATAATCTAAAATGATACTCTGGCTTTCTATCATAATAGAACTACTGGCACCACTACAATTTTCATGTCAGTTTTGTTTCTTTCAATATGTAGCTAATTCTATAACTTCCTATGGTTTTAGATGTTTTGAAGATTTAATATTATAAATAAAAGGTTCGCTGCCCTTTTCAATATTAATAATCAACCATATTGCCAAGGTCAAATAATCACTGTTTTTGTAGCGAGGCAAAAGGTTTTGGCATCAAGATACCGCTTACTTAGCGTAATTTTCTAGTACAAGTTTTATGATCGATTTTATTTATAAAAAAGTACACTTGGCTTTTGAAAAAGATAGTTTCCTTTTTTATTATATGAAAAGATGATTATTTTATATGTTCACGAATTTTTGAATTTAATTGATATGAACATGAGAAGAAAACGTTTATTTTCATTTATTTATCTATTTATTTGCTTTTGTTGTTTAAAATATCATGCTTTAAAAGATAATAGAAATTTTGATATACAATATAAAGAAAATAGTTTTTGTATGATCCGATTTTTCTTAATTGTAGATAACTATAATAGATGTTTATGCGCGTTGTTTTATGGCAAACGATGCATACACGAACACCTGTTGGAAAAAAATGCAAAAAGCAAAAGGTTTTCTTTAATCTACAAGGATAAATGAATACATATAGAAAAAATAACTAATTGATATATTCGATTTGTAGTTATTTTGATGCATGTAGTTCAAAGCAATAAGAATTTCTTCTAAGTTGATCAAACCCATCTTGTAAATTACAAGGTTTTCAACATTTTTTTTTGCAATCTGTATCCTTTTACAGTCTTGTTTTGTACAAATTATACTGTTAATTGTTTATACATTTTATATATTGTGATTTCAAAGAAATTGAACATATTGTTGATGTCAATAAATAGTGGATTGAAAGATATCGCTTACGCCATTGCTGATACTGTCATTTGACCTGATCTATGTCTTGAGTCTTGATTCATATTCGGCATACTTCTGTATCAAAATGCAATATTTCACTTACCATAAGGCGTAAAAGTACTGCTATGATTGGGGTTTTTAATGCTTACATCGGCTTTTCTACATTTTGGGAACCAGCGTAAAACCAGCTAATATTGTATTAATTAAATCATTTGATAAATGCCAGTGTTCTTCTTTATCAGTGCATATGTCTGATCCAAATGTCACCTCATTTGTATCTGTAACAAGAAGAAAAAAAACGTCCTTAATTAAGCTGAAAACGTTCATTTCATAAAATAAGTAATTACTTTAACTTTGCATTGAATATATTATAGGCATATATTTAAGCAATATTTCCATTTATAAATGTTTGAAGTGACAAGGCAAAAACGTACTGCCATAAGCTCGGGGGGTCATTTATTTGTTCCCCTCGTGACACGCACTTTCTTTCTGAACAATCAAGCGATTTCTCGTATTAAGTTAAATACCTTGAATATACTGAAAATGCACTTAATTACTCCTAACGAATTCAATTAAAGTTGCATTTTGTCAATAAAATAATTAATTACTTGACTATTTACAAAATAAATAGTATTATATAGTCTAAATAAAACGTGTTTTAAGAGAAATGAACCCCCCATCTCTACCATAAAGAAAGATTATTAATTTGTTGTTAAGCCATAAAAGGGACATAAAAATGGATTTTTCGATGCTTTATAGAAAATATGACATAGGTCACTAAGGACAAAACCAAATCATACGGCAGAACAGCTTTGCACGTGCTGATTTTACTACTAGCGTTTCATATAATATCTGAAGAAATTAGATTTGATGGTCTTTTTGACATATATTGGTCTCCCAAAATGAGTGCGATGTTTAAACAACGAAAATGCTTGTAATTTCTTTAGCTGTAATAGTATTTACTTTTGTACTTCTTAAAGTATATATAATTTTCAACAACCAACCCAAATTCGAGCTATTTATATTCCGCTTACGATGTTTGGTTAATTTTCATTAATATTTGAATGAAAGTCTCAAGTACATGTATATGATTATTTGTGCAATTTAAGTAACCGTCTACCTTCAAGTTGCTTCACGATTTTATTTATAGTTATTAAAGCTGCATGCCTGCGGATGACACAAAGCATTTCAAGAAATTTAACTTTGAGAAAAAGTACTAAGATTTTAAGGACATTAATATTATTCACAATTCATGAAATAATTTATATGTTACAGGCAATTAATGGCTGAATTTTGTAGTATTTATCACCATATTTCTACTGCGTGACTAACGCATTAAGAGCTATTTTTCATATTCTGGCCTATTATTTTTTTGGTAATTTTCGTAGATTTTTATTGCCGTTGTAATATTTAGATTACTTTTCTGTTTACTTGACATTATTTTACTTTTTTAATACATTTTAAATTCTTCATGAAAATTGGCATGAATCTGAATGCATGCTGCTTAAAAACCGGGAGACAAAACAAATTCCTTCATTTTTAATCTGTTATTCATTACTAGCGATATAATGCTTAAATAACTTCTTTTCTGTCGTTAATTTAATACTCATGGCGATCTAATAGACATAATAGTTCGTTTAAACTTCCGTCAATGTTAAAGAAAGAGGTTGAAAAGATTTTAAAATATTTTCATTACAATGGAAAATAAAAAAGAAATTTCCGTTAAAAAGTCATATCAAATATGTTATATGTAAAGGAAATACTTACGCGTATTAGTGTAAAAGTATTTTGACGTTCTGTTTTTTGTGTTGTTGTTGTTGTTGTTGTTGTTGTTGTTGTTTATTTACAACTGACAACATTTTATTTAATGTTTGTCGTTTATCAAAACGAGTTTCTTCTCTTATTTATTAGCAGTTGTTGACTTTATTATCATTTTCTTTTTAAAAAAAATGTTTTAACTCTTTAGTAAATGGTTCATGAGATTTTGCGTGCATTAAACTCTTTAAACCTATGATCACCAAACTGTTCTGTCATTTGGGATTATTAGTATCGCCTCTCTGTTATCACCTATTGTAAAAAAAAGGTCTTCAA